GGCTGAATTAAAAGTCGAAGAAACTGCTAAAGACACTTGCACCTGTGAGGGAAGATATTTTTAGAGGTGTGCTCTCACCTCTCAATCTATGTAGTGTTTTAATACCCTTTGTAAAAGTGTTTTGCACTGCGAATGGCCTTAGAAGCGTGCCTCACTCTATTTTTTTTAAAACAAAAAAGTCTCTGTTACAACTCATGCCCTATTTTCCTATCACACTCATGCCCACATTTAGCCTTCCACCACATTCTCATCGAATCCGCTTCATCAAATTAGATATTTGCAGAACTACCATTTATTAAGTGTGCTTATTCTGTCAGGCCAATGATAAGATTATGTCCAGATCTGTCGCTTGTGGCCATGTTCATTAGAAATGGCGAAAATGTTATTGTTGTTGTTTTAGAAATTGATCTTACGTGTTTGTATGAGAATATAGGGAATGCACTAGACACAATGAGATATTTTTGACAAGGATAATGTTGGTTGCAATGGGTTTGAGAATAAGTACGCTAGAATTTGTCTTGATTGTCACTTTGATATACCTTGTTGCATCTGTTGGTCCATAGATTTTGGAGCAGGTGAATTCGACCATCTTCATCTTGAAGTCTGGATTAGGGGTGGGCAGAAAAAGACCGAACCGAAAAGACCGAGACCGAAAAGACCGAGACCAAGAAATTCGGTCATCAATTCAGTTCTAGATAGTGAAAGACCAAATTTTTTCAGTCAATTCAGTTAGTCACCTCGGTTAACCAAATAGACCAAAAAGACTGAATTAACAAAAAAATGTCTAAATGCAACATACAATCCACTAAGTTCAATAGGATTAAACTCTAATTTTAACATCCCTACTTCTTCTAGGCATGCAACATAATAAGAGTCTTTCCTCATACGTGCTTAAGAATTTTTTTTGTGATTTTTTGTTGAAAATTTCCATTATTTCTTTGCATATATAAAAATATTGCTGAATATCGGTCAGGACCGAGACCGAGGCGATGGGGAGGCATGGGGGCAGCGGATCCGGCGATGACGAGGACGATTGTGGCCATGAGGAGGGTGGCGGCGGCGGCGGCTTCTTGGGTTAGGGTTCCAGATCTTTTGGATTTTATTTTGGTTTTTTCGGTTTTTTATTTTTGTGTGCGTGCGCCACCGCACGTAAAAATAGCGATTTTTGCATACTATTTGGCGCGTGTGGCTAGCCCTACCACACGCGAAATCACCTTTCGGGCCACCTGCAATAATCAATTTTGTAGTAGTGAGGGATAGGGTCATCTATATTTATTTTGATCGAAACATAGTAAAAAAAAAGCAAGCGTGCACACTCACCCTCACCCCTCTATGAAAGCAATAATCTTCTACTACTAAAATATCAATTTGTCAAAAATTTAAACACCATACCAATTCTAAAATTTAAACCGGGGAATTATGTCAGCGTTAGACAATCCTGATTTACTTGGAAGTCCAAAATTCAGAGAAAAATATAGTCTAGATTTTTTTTGCAAATAAAAGTCTAGAATTTGCAGGACCAAAATTTTCAAAAATACTCTAAAACCCAGTTGAAATTTTCATGTCGTGAGACAGTGAAAACAGTGACCACGCGTGGGAGAAATCGGAGGGCGCTGTCCGGGGGGGACGACGACTGTGCTAACGCATGGTACCTCCTAAACAGGAAATTAACCCTGTAGATTAGTCTGCACACGAGTCATATATATCGTCGATCGATCGACGTACAAGCCAGTGTTCCACCCCGTGTATATATGTGACACGCGCGTACTAACGACGCTAGCTATCAGCGACGCAAAGACGCACGGTCGGCTCCGCCCGCGCGGTCCATCCGGTCGGCGCTCGCGTGCAATTCAGCAGAGAACACCTCGTGCGCCGGTGACGCGCGCCTCTCGAGTAGTGACCACCCGTCCACCCCTCACGCGCTTGCATGCTCTTGTGACAGCAACCTCCGCACCCCACGCCCTGTCCCCCGCCGCGACGCTCGACAATACACGTACTGCTGCTCTCCGCCTCGTCGTCGTCAACCCACGTAGTACGCGCCGCACACGGGCTCCTTTTCGCGAACCCGACGACGACGCCACACGCCAGCAGCCCGGAGTCCGGCCCCGCGCGCGCAGCCAGGCCATCCATCCCTGCGCTGCGCAGCGCACGGCACGAGGGAATACGGAGGACGGACGGGCCGGGAAAGCGTGGCGATCGATCGATCGATCGATTTCGTGCGAACCAGCCTAATTTTAGGCGCTACGACACACACGGCCGCGCGCCGGGGGGGGGGGGGGGGGGGGGGCTGATCTCCCGTACTACGTGCGTGCGTGGTACGAGCGGGCGATATGATACGATAGCTTGTCTCGAGCGGCTTCAGGTGAGGTGATGGATATGCCTGGATGGGTACGTGTACGTGACGGATCGATCAATTGCCACGCGCGGAGGTCGTGTTCTGTCTGTCCGTGAACTAATAGGACCGTACGTGTCATGTCACGGCTGGCCTCGCTCGCGCCCACGCCCTCGTGTGGTGACGCGGCTCTCTGCCAACGTATCGATCGATTAGGGCATTCCCAACCAATAACTAGAATGGTGTCCATAACATTAAATAAGTTACCACCTAGGAAAAAAACGATGTGGCAAGTGAATAAATGAGGAAAGAGAAGGAAACCATATTTTGTATGAGACATGGTTTTACACAACATACAAGACATCATGTGAGATAAGTAGCATTAAATTGAAGTATGGAATAGTGGTGTTTGCATTGGAAGAGTAGTGTCTAGTACTAGTTTCTTGATGATGTGGAGTTTATGGAAACCATGTCTAGTGTTATGGGTTGGGACTGCCCTTAGGCCATCCCCAACCCTCCGTATCATCTAGTTTACATAGCATTAAATACATTGCCACATAAGAAAAATCCTATGTGGCAAGAGAGTTAATAAGGAGAGAGGTAAAAAGATGAAGAAACCATGTCTCATGCAAGAAACCATATCTACACAAGAACCAAGAATAAAAATAAGGGGATAGGTGGATAAAAGGAGAGAGAAGAGATGATTGGATGAGAATTTAATTTGAAGACACCATCCATTGAATACATAGTTTCTACATATAGTGTCTATATGACATGACAAGTATGAAAACTACTAGATAGTTTCTGGGTTGGAGATGGCCTTAGAGCGTGCAACTGGTCGCGCGCGGCCGGGAATCAGAAGAGTGTGATTGTCGCTTCGTAATCGTGATCATACGTAGTTATTGCTAGTAATTTGCTACTACCTCCGTTTTACAATATAAGACTTTCTAGCATTGCCCACATATATATAGATGTTAATGAATCTAAACACATACATATAGATGTGGGCAATGCTAGAAAGTCTTATATTGTAAAACGGAGGGAGTAGCACAGTAGTAGTACGTAATTTGGTATTAATCTCAATATAAGTCAATATGGATAGTTTGATAATTCCGAGTTCAAGCCTTCGCTCGGGTATGACTTCTGAGCGAGCAGTATTCCCTTTCTTTTTCCCCAATTTTTTCTAGAGAAGGGTAATTTGAACTCAGGACTTTAAGGTGCTACTCAGGTCATTACAACCACTTGCCTACATGTCCTTTTACTCTCTTTCCCCAATTAAGAACTGAAATTCTTATTGCCTGCTGATTTTACCTAGCTTACAACAACATAAGTATTTTGTTGATCTTACTTCACAATGTCACACTTTAGTCGTGTCACGGTTTGTGAGATGTTTCCTCCTTTCCAAAATATAAGACACAACTACCCTTAATTAAGAAACAATTATTATCATATTCTTATTTGTATCGTCTTAACAATTCAATTTATGCACACAATTAATAGAATTAGAGTTCTTAAGGGTGAAAGATTTGAATAATAATAATTCCATGATGATGATGTGTGTTAGTTAATTGCATGTATACATGCACGTCTTATATTGTGAAACATCTGAAAAAACTAGTTGTGCCTTATATTATAAAAATGAGGGAGTAGTACGTGTTTATATCATCCTACATTTCTTAGCCTTAAAACTGACATGTATACTCCTAAGTTTAAAGCTATGCATAGCATGCATATATACTTGTAGCTTCCTATATCACATTTGTCTAAGCTTAGTTATGATAAACACCCCTAGCATCATAGATAAAAGGTACATTGTATTCGCGGTAATGCAGTCACAAATGTATGCATTAGCGGTTTGCGATGGGAGGTATCGCCTAAGGATAAGACGCTATCGACTTTATCCGGTATCGACTAAAGATATAACAGTATTTAACTTTATTCGGATGGACCATCAATAGTTTTATAAATAATGCAAAACCTAGTTGGTTAGATTTCTTAAAGTGAAACTTGCCCACCCAAATTCAAGTCCTAGATTTAGCATTGGTGATCATATTTACGGATAATTTTTCAATCTCTCGGTGATAGATGGCATACCCATTAGCGATGTGTTGTGGTGACTTCATTAATATTAAGATATGAACGTATGCTTTTGTACCATGTTTGAAAAAATGTTTTCTAAATATTTAGTTTGAAAATTTTAAAAATCATATGAATATTTTTTATATGTAATTTTTACAATGTTATAATTTTATTATATATGTTATAATTTAGTATATTTTAATAGGAAAAAATGGTCAAAGTTGCTAAGCAAACTTTAAGAGTCCTATATAATTTAGTATATTTTTGAAGACCAACCTTTTTTACTAAGCAAACTTTAGAGCCCTATATATAGGCAATTAAAGCAGATATCTCAATAATCAATTGGGCTGATTTTCGGGGATGGATAACATAGAATTATTTGAAATTTGAAGCATACCCCCCAGATGCGCAAAATTAACACGCCCTACATGCTACGCATAAGTACATGGCAAACACCGAAACTGACGCAAGTGAATAGGCCCAAGAAACAAACACCTTCCTTGTCAACCCTACATCCCAAAAACAGCTGGTCCCAATTACACGTCCCCACTGCCCACATCCAAAGTTAAACCGCTTCAGCTCCAATACATCACGCTGCGTTTGCTCCATATCCCATTCTACTCTAACCCTTACTGCCATCATCACATCACAAGCGCATAACCAAAAGAAAGAAAGAAAAATCTTCAATAGTGGAGAGAGAGAGAGAGAGAGAGAGAGAGCGCTTCTCCTCCTCTCTTCTCTTCTCTTCTCCCCCTTCGCTTCTCTTTCCCCCCACTCAATCAAACCCTAACCCTACTGCGTACGCCGCGCCATCGACGACGACGCGCTCGCGCGATGAGCGTTGAGCGAGATGGGCGCGACCAGCCCAACATCGACTCGTTCTCGCAGCTGCCGTTCATCCGCCAGGCGGCCCGCGAGAAGCCGCCGTCGTCGTCGTCCGGCGGCTCCGTCGTCGTCCCTCCTGCGCCCATCCGGCTGTTCGGCTTCGACGTGCCGCCGGACGCGTCCACCACCGCCGATGTGCTAGGAGAGAACAAGGAGAGCGCCGCCGCCGTCGTCGCCGCTGAGGGGAGTAAACAAACGGCGTCCGGTCTGGACGCAATCGGCGGCGGCGGCGGGAGCCGGAAGTTCGAGTGCCACTACTGCTGCCGGAACTTCCCGACGTCGCAGGCGCTGGGCGGGCACCAGAACGCGCACAAGCGGGAGCGGCAGCGCGCGAAGCACGCGCAGTTCCAGACGGCCATGGCCATGCACCACGGCCACGGTCAGTACTACCCGCTCCCGGACCCCTACGCGGCGGCGTTCGCGGCGTACCCCGGCCACCACCACCACCACCGCTTCGCCGCCACCGCCGCCGCCGCCATGCCTCCGCCGCCGCACTACCCGTCGTGGGCTGCAGGCTCCAGGTACTACAGCGGTCCAGGATCCATCTCGCAGCCGATCAACGGGAGCCCGGTGGCGCCGGCCGGGATGTGGCGGCTCCCTGCCGCCGCCAGCTGCGTCGGCTTGGCGACGACGACGACTACGGCGGCGCCGCTGCCCGCGCGGCGCCAAGAGCGGCCGGCGGCGACAATTCCTTCGCTGCTCGGAGGCGGCGAGGAGCCCGTGGTGCTGGGAGGAGCTGGCTCCACCTCGTTCTCGCCGTCGACGTCCTCCTCCTCGTCGTCGGCGTCGCCGCACGAGCGGCGCGCGCAGCCAGCGCGTAAAGAGAATGTGAGTTTGGATCTGAGCTTGTAGCAGCGGAGGAATGATGGCCGGTGTCAGCCTCATAATTGTTTCTTAATTACAAAACAAAATCAAGTGCCTTTTCATTTCACGTTTGGATTTATTTTCAGCTCGTTGAGCTAATACCAATGGTACTAGAGATCAGCTACTAATTAAGATAGTAGTATCATCTCTTTCTCTGCCCTTCCATTTGACTGCAACTCCTAAATTTGTTCGAATTCTTCAAATTTTGCTCGAACAATTATGTTAATTTGTTTCTGGAATTTCTTTAGTTTTGGTGAAAGGAATTGTAGATAGTTTTTAAATCTGTTGTTCTTACTCTTTTTATATCATTTTTCTTTCTCAAAGTGTTCAAATTTGCGGTCAATTTGCTCAGTTTTAGTTTTTCAATTTTTGCAAGGCAATGGATTTGGCGTTCTTCTATATTTTTCTTGAAAGGGAATTAATTTTATGTGTGTACCGTGTCTCCTGTTCCCCAAAATTCCTCTCTCCTTCTCTACATGCAGTATAGAATGTTAACCAAGCTTTTGTTAGTGTCTTTTAGAATCCCTTTTATTTGTATAATTGCCTCCTTCCAAAATTGTGTAAACTTTAGGGAACCAAATTAAATTGTACACCATCATATCTAACCGCATATTAACTTATTGCTTCTATCACAGCAAAATTGCAGTGCATAAATCCTTTTCTAGTTGGATGATTTCGAAAGTACTACTAACTAGCGTTTTGCAGCATCACAAATTAATATCAAAGAATTAATCAGCTTCTTTTCTAGAGATAATCGTAGACCCATTAATTAATTCGCAGTGTACTAGTATTCTGCATTTTAAATATGCATGTAAAGATTTCCAAAGTTCATTCATGTATTCAAATTTGAAAAAAAAAATCATGGCTTTGGGATTGGTTCTGATCAATATGTAGGTGGTTCTTTCTACTAGCACTAGTACTTTGTAGTAGCATGTACTATATATCTAACACTTGCATCTCTCAAAAATGCATTTAACGCAGACTGTACGCTCACCCTGCCAATGCCAGCCGTTTGTATCATTCCCTGTATTCTTATGTTATCGATCTCTCTGCTGGTCATGTTAACCATTCAGATGAGAGCCCACCCCCATAATTGCCTATATTTTCCTTCCTAGTTATTTTTTGATTCATTATATATAAGCAACTCTAATATAATATACTGCTAGCTTCAGTTAACTGCCACTTCCTGAGGATCTGGACATTTTTCTTTGTTTCCACTTTATTTCTTCCAAAATGTGCTAAAAATAATCTGATTGATTATCTTCTGGATGGAAATAAAGGGGACCACACTGATGAAAAATGTACATAAATATGAAGGATAATGCATGCGTGCATTCTACAGATCTGTTTTTTTCCTGATGCATTATTTTGGTGACCACCAGCTAGCTAGGAACATTAACTGTTGGCATACCGGCCTGCTAAAATGCACAAAGCAACCGGCCTGCTAAAATTGTCAGCAGTACTGTTTTTCATAAGCTAATTTAATTTTCTAGTAATGTGTCAACCGGCCTAACCATTTTTCTCTAATTAAAATACTTATTTCCCATTTAAATTGGATATATACTCAATTTGAATACACACACATACATACATACTTTTTCCTTGTAGTCCTTTTATGGATTAACTTAATTTGTCAACTTCTCTGACTCTGTTGTCCAAACGTACTCCAAAGTGTATTTTTAGAGGTTCTGCAAAGTATTGAAGAGAAATCGCAAAGTTATTCTCCCTGTTTAATCATGAAATGAAGAACCTTTACACATGGGAAAATATACATATATACATGCTGCAATGCATATAGCAACAAAAACTGCAATCTGACTTTTAATAGGAAAAGGCTGGAAAGCTGTTCTTCAATAATTGCATATTCCTTAAAAAAAGTGTGTGTGGTACTACTATAGTAGAATAATCATACCATCCATCATTATAAAAAGGTTAGGGAGACAACTTTAAAGTGATTTGAAATCATAATACTGTATGTTAGTACATCATACTAGGTATCAACTACTTAAACAATTATATCTATTTATTCCATAATTTATACAGAATTCTAGCAAGCTATAGCTAGGAGGGACATGCACTTTGGATCAATTTGTTTTTAATTTGTTTTCAATTTCTAGTGTACTGATTGCTTCAATCTGTCCAGAGAGATGAGATTATTAGGTCAGGTTTAACAGTAAAACTAACTACTAATCTTAAGCCCATCAGAAAATGGTATTAGAACTAACATACATGTACAATAAATAAGCTATATAAGGTCGACTCCACCTTTTTCTCCTCCCTCCATTTATATTAGAGCATATGTAAAACTATCTCTGCAATTAGAGCCAACAGTCCTTTGCCTCTCACTTTTATGTGTGCTTGTAGCCGGTTTATAGTTTGTTATTGTACTTGCTATTAGAGTTTGTTAATTATAAATAGATGGGATTCGTGATGCATAGAACAGCTGGCTGATTCTAATCGGTATACAGGAAAAATAGTGGTACTAATTAACTACTCCCTCCGTCCTATAATATAAGGGATTTTGACATCTCGCTTGCACTGTATGACCACTCATCTTATTCAAAAAATTTGTACAGATATAAAAAACGAAAAGTTGTGCTTAAAGTACTTTGGATAATAAAGTAAATCAAAAAAAATAAATAATAATTCTAATTCTTTTTAATAAGATGAATGGTCAAACATGACAAGCAAAATATCAAAATCACTTATATTAGGGGACGGAGGGAGTACATAGTTAGAAATACTTATATTTTAGAATGAAGAAAGTATTTATATACATAGTAACGGTTTGTTAATTGTTGTTGAGCTACTCCAGTTTGGATGCAAAAATATGGAAGTAGAAGAGATAATTTATGAGGAAAAGGGAAGAATTAATCTCTTCTAATATTCATCAAGATATTCATTTTTATGTTGAGCCTCCATGCACTGGCATACAGTCCTGTCTTAGCTTATAGCTAGTGTATGCAAATTGCAAAGGTGGACAATAATTCTGGTACAGGAGGGACCTACACTGTCATTCATGGATCAACTCTAGCCCCTCACCCTGCCTGCTAGCACGCCAATCTATTAAGGCCGAGTTTAGATATAAAGTTTTTCTTCAAACTTTTAACTTTTTCATTACATCAAAACTTTTCTACACACACAAACTTTCAACTTTTCCGTTACATCGTTCCAACTTTAACCAAACTTCTAATTTTAGCGTGAACTAAACAACCCTAATCCAGTTAGAACTTCCCTGCTTATAATCGTACGTCCATCTTTTGTAACCGAGTTATATGGCCCATTTAGACAGGGTCACAGGGAATGAATGCCTTTTCCGATCGATCTCAACAAGAAACCCGATCATATATAGCACTTGCATCTCGATCAATAATTCGATATGTAAATCTGTGTTTGTGTTAATGCGAAAGAGAAAAGACTCTCTCTGAGCTGAGTCATCAGCTCTGCACCGTCACGCTGCTAGCTATAGCTAGTTCTGCATGATGATGGCATGCAGGAATCGCCCATGCAAACCACCAAAAGTTGTTGAAACATATGCACACGCAGACACACAGAGCTAGCCTTACTCAGCTCATCAGCTGCATGCTAGCTAGACTGCTGCTACTACTAGTCGCATACTACGGCCTTAGATAAAAAAATTTTGGCAAAAAACGTCACATCAAATATTTAATATATGCATCGGTATTAAATATAGGAAAAAAATAATTATACAGTTTGCATGTAAATTGCGAAACGAATTTTTTAAGTCTAATTACACCATAATTTGATAATATGATGCTACAGTAAATATTTGCTAATGACAAATTAATTAGGCTTAATAAATTCATCTCTCAGTTTACAGGCGGAATCTATAATTTGTTCTGTTATTAGTTATATTTAATACTTTAAATGTGTTGATATACTTAAAAAAAACTTTACACAAAAAAAACTAATCACACCCTACCACTCCGGTCAGAAACGGCAGCAAGCATCGTTAGCACCGCGCACACAGTACCGCGAGCTCAATGACCGAAGTAGCACTGTACATGGTAGCTCTACTGCTCTAGCAAATATACTCCGTCCGTCTAAAATAATAATAAAAAAACCAACCTAAGAAGGGACTTAACCCTTCACAGTAAAACGAATCTAAGACTGTCCAGATTCGTTTTACTAGAAATGGCCACATCTCCTCTTAATTTGGCTTTGTTTGGGATGGATGGAATATACTCCTACATGCCATTATTTTTCTATATATGTATTTGTTCATATTTTTAAGAGGAAAACTATTTTGATTTCTCGAGAGGATGTCCTATCATTTGCTTTAAAACCATCTAAATAGTTATGATAAATTCTAGAAAAATTTGACAACATATCTATACCCCACAACATCTTAAATCTAAATTCAACTCACACATCGAGATATAAAAAGGACAAATTAAACATATAAATAGTAACGTACTATTCATATATAAATTTGTCTTTATTTTGTTTCTCGATTTGTAGGTCAAATTTAAACTTAATTTTTGGTAAACTAGTAGATATCACTATACTCTACGTTGTTATATTTTAAAATATTTTATAACTATTTACATCAAACTTAAAAGAAAAAGATACACAATAAAATATTCTCTCCAGAGATTTGAATCTACTGAAAAAAAGTTGGAGGAGTCGTATGCGTGGACTGGCAGTGCCTGCAGTATCTTGCTGCCATATGTCTCCTGCAGGGCTCGGCTGTGCTGCAACTGCACATCACTGCTGTGTCTTTGCTGCCTGCATCGGCCGCATGCACGCATGCATGGCAGGGGCAACCGGGCAAACGGATCGGTGGAATCGTCAGGGATGTGCTTCTGTAGGGGACTTATCCACACATCAGCGTGTGCAGCATCCTTTATATATTCGCTAGTCGCTGCGAGTGATTTACAAGAGCTGTTCGTATATACGAATGCAGGGCAGCGGCCGGGCTTTGGAAAGGGAGCTTGAAAATATTGGGAATAAGTTCACTTTAGGTCCCTCTATTTATCGCTCAGTCTGATTTTCGTCCTTAAACCGCAAAACCGGGTACCGTCCCCCAACTTACGAAAAACGGGCAAAGGAGGTCCCTCGGCTGTTTTGATAGCGGTTTTGGCTGACGTGGCGCCTACGTGGCTAATTTGACTCGGTCGTCATCTGACGTGGCATTGACGTGGCGCTTACGTGGTAATTCGAACCGGAAAAATAATAAAAAACGATGGGACCCACGTGGGCCCCACATGCCATCTTC